CTCTGCATCATTTAGTTGCGTTTGCAAAGTTCTAAGGGCCTCGTAATGCGTTTGGGAAGGGTTTAATTTGTTCGCATGGGTCAACTCCGTTATTTGTTTTATGAGGTCTGTGTATTTAGCAGTTCTTTGTTTGTTTTTATAGCTGGCATGTTTAATCAGGCTCCCTCTGATTACTGCTTTATGCGCTTGCCAATTTGTGTCAACAGAGGTCTCTCCTTTGTCATTGAGGTCAAAGAAAGTGTGAATGTCTTCTTCAATGCTTTTAACTATGTGTGGGTCGTGTAGTAGTGTTTCGTTGATTCTCCATGTGCCCTGGCCCTTGTGCGGAAAGTGTTCCTGTAGTGTGAGCAGTATAGGTGCATGGTCCGACCACGTTATCGTCCCTATCTGGGCTTCGCAGACCGTACGAGTCATAGCGGTGGGTATTAGGAATCTGTCTATTCTGGAGTATGAATTGTAAACTTGTGAGTGAAAAGTGAAATCCTTTTCAGATGGGTGTAATATCCTCCATATGTCAAGAAGGCCTGCTCCATGTAACGTCTGCCGTATTTGTTGGGTAATGTGGGTGCGTTTATGTGAGGTGGAGCGATTCACTGTGTGTGTGGAGGTCGTGTCGGCAGCGCCGTCAAGTATAAAATTTGTATCCCCCCCAACAATCAAGTTATTGCAAGGGAATTTGCGGGCTAAGGAAATAATTTTGGATATAAAGTCTTTTTGGTTCTCGTGTGGGCCATACACATTCAGTAGTGTGAATGGGTTATCATTTATAATGCAATGTAGTAGAAGAAACCTGCCTTCTTTGTCCTTGATTTTTTTGCAGAGTTTAAAGGTAACATCTTTGTGTATTAAAATAGAGACGCCTCTCTTCTTTTTGGCATACCCTGCATGGAACCCTAAGGGGAATTGTTTTGACGTGAATTTGGGCATCTTAGTGGTCAGGAAATGGGTCTCTTGGAAAAATGCAATTTGGGCTTTAAGCTTAGTAGCCTCAGCAAGTGCAAGTCTCCTTTTGTGAGGGGAATTAAGACCTTTAGCGTTTAGTGATATTATTTTCAGAGTCATCTTTGGCGGTCCTCATAGCTTGCTAAGCATATTTTGGAATATTGGTCGCGAGTGAGGTACGACAACCACCCATAAATGCCGGCCCATGCAGTCCCACTACTTGTATTCCCTCTTAGTTCTGATAGATTCCCAAAATTAGATTCCATTTGAGCCTCCCACTGTGGCTTGATAATGCGAAATTGTATACACTGTGTATATATCTGATATAGTCGATATATTTGAGCAGCTTGCATTGCTTGTACCATTATTCGACGGACGTAAGTGTCCAAGGTTACTATTGGATACCTCGAGAGAATTGGGGTGGGAGAGGGGTATAGGGTGATTAAAATGTACAATGTGAGTGGCAGATCTGAAGTGTCTGCCGTCTGGTAGAGTTTTGTGGCTCTGTAGAGCCTGTCTGGGGGGAGGGTATTTATATGCGTGTGTTTTACCCTTCTATCTTTGGGTCACTTCGTCCCTGTATCTAAGTCAACTCTCCCACCAAGTGTGACAACCTCCACAAATTATAAGTGGTCACAACAAAAAAAAAACTAACAAAGCAACTAAATACCGCAATACATTTCTCATGCGTTAGATCTGCCGTTAAGCAGTGATAAATGCTCACGTATCGTCAGGCGGTGTAAACAGGATTACAATTCTCCTGTATTTGGATGTACAGGAAAGTGTCTTTCACTTGTATTTGGACACCGTAAGCCAGTCTTTAGTGACCGTCTTTGGAGATTGTCGGTGGTTCCCCTCCTCGGCGTGCCCGCCTGGTGTGGGCATAGGGATATTCCAGTCTTTGAGAAGACGGAGTCCATCTTGTTCCGTGTGGACTTGGTACTCTACTCCATTTCTTCTTACTATTATGCGGGTGGGGTATCCCCATTTATATTGGAGCCCTGCGTTTCGCAAAGCCGTTGTAAAAGGAGTAAATTCCTTGCGCTTCGCCAATGTCGCCGCCGACAGATCTGTAAATAGCTGGATACCTGCAAATTTTTCTGGCAGTGCGCTTGGGTTCCTTGCCGTTCTCATAATTTTGTCTTTGGTTGTAAAATAGTGAACCCGCGTTAGCACATCTCGCGGAGCGGTGGGAGCAAGAAATTTAGGGAGCCTGTAATCGATGAATTCTATCCAGGTGCAGTTCGCTCTCCTTCAGTTCAGGGCATAAAGCTTTGAATAGTTCTGTGGCATAGTCATGCAGCTCAGTAGGTTTAACCTCTTCAGGGATACCGCGCAGGTGGACATTGTTTCGCCTATCACGGTCTTCGTGATCCGCTACTTTTGCTGTTAGTGCGTTTAGTCTTGCGTCAAAGGATTCGTATCCTGAGGCGAGATTGTTGTGTGCTGCTATGATTTCATCCGTCTTTTCTTCTAACTGGGCGGTACGCTCGCATATTGCTTTAATATCTGTGCGGACATCTCTAGCAAGTTTGGAGAATTCAGCCTGTAAGTTATTCTGCAGCTCTTGCATCATTCTCTGCATTGCTGTCTCTGAGGCCGGTATGGTGGGCTCCAGGGATATTGAAGTGCTGTCACTCCATTTGGAGTAGGCTGTGGGTGAGTTAGGGCCTTCGGCGCCATCTTGAGGCTTCCCTCGCGGCGGTGTGAGTGCTGCTATTTGTAGCTCCGCCGGTCGGATTTTTGCTTTTTTTGCCGTGCGTTGGGACATGTTCGGTGCAGATCTCACCTCTGCTGGCATGGGTGAGTCGCTTTGTCGGGTGTGCTATTATAATCGCTGCTTTTTTCAATTACCCCCGTCGGAGCTGATCTCTCACGCGTCCATTTTCGTGAGTAGCCAGGCCATGCCCCTTTGTTGTTTTTAAATAAAAATAACCCTCCCCCTCCCCCCAAAAGTCAGCCTGATCAGAGAGCCCTCTGGTCACAGTGATCACTGGTACGGCAATGTACAGCAGCAATACTGTACAGTGATCATGGCAACAGAGACTGGATTAAGGGAGATTTGAGTTGCTGTGACAGAAAAAGGATCAATTTTTTTGTTTTGTTTTTTTAAATTTTTTTAATATCCCCCAAACAAAAAATAATATTAGTACAAATGTACTAAAATCCCTAATCAGGCTGATCACAGGGGGAAAGGGATAAAAAAAATAAAAAAAATAAAAATCAAATAACCTTTAATTTTTTTTTCCAAGTTTAAAAACCTTTTTTGCACCACAGGTAAAATCCGCAATGATCTCTCTGCTTCTCTCAGATCAAAGTGAGGTTGATTTAAAATCATTGGCTGACACATTGTAACAGTGATCGCAGTGACTGGCTGTCACTGCGATCACAAGCTGCAGATTGCCACCTATTGGCCACAAGGGGCCTGCCTCGATGGCCACAAGGCCCCCCCACCGAGATCTGCAGCTTGCGAGGGAGCCAGCACATGTGGGAGGACTAAAATGCCGGGGCGTACAGTGTTTAAGCCCATTAACGCCAGAACGGCATAGCACGCCCATAAGGAGTTAACAGGTTAAATAACCACGGTCTTCTAGGTTAAGCTGTAACATAGAACAAACTGCAAACACCCCACAATAATGCCCCTATCCTCCCACAATACTGCTCCTTGTAGTAGAATGAATGCCCCAACTACACTTTTATTCCCTTTTGTTTGGCTGTCCATACACCCCATTTGTTTACCAAACCACCTATGTGTGGGTTCCTAGGTTACTTTTGTGTTTTGGTCACCCTGTGCCCATTATTGGTGCAGGGTATGTTAAAGGCATTGCTTATCTGTGCCTCTCTCCCTCACCCTTTTCTATTATTTCCCCAACAGGGTGTTGTCCCAGGGACACTGCCAGACCAGTTTAAACTAGCTGCTTTGTCCCTCAATCTTCCATCAGACCTTGCTATTGTCTGACCCCACCCTTCTTTGTACTATAGTGGTTTATGCACCATTGTATGTAAATGAGGCTGTTGGAGGCTTAAAATATGTGTGCTATGTCTAGTAAAGTTAGTATCTGTTTTAACCATTCCAAGTGTTGTCTAGTGTTTGGGACAAGGGATATAATCTGATGAAAAGGGTGTGCAGGGCTGTAAGCACATTAGCCTGGTCCAGGGTTTATAGGGCCCTCAGTGATCCCAGACAAGCATCGGCAACTGGTATGAAGTGCTCCAGGGTCCCTGATAACCAACAGGAAGCAGACTTGGTGGCGGTACTAAATCCCCCACAATTTGGCCCCAGTCCCAATCACAATAAAGCCCCAATCCCCCATAATACTGCCCCTATTCACCCCACTCTAAAACCCTTATCCTCCTCCCACTAAAGCCCTACAGAATTTGTTGTGGTTTTATGAATAAAACCACACTATCCTCCACACTAAAGCACAGTGACACAGTGAGGGTATATAATACAATAAAGTTGGTTTAACACACACAAAGGGTTAAGACATTCAAGAGAGGGGATATGAAACACTAAAAGAGGTAAGAAATTCAAAACAGGGATTACGAAACAGGTAAAGAATCATATTTTTGGGGAAGGTGTGTCAAAATACAACTTCGTCTGTGTAGCCAAAGGTTCTTGTACGGGCCCTGATCCCCTACTTACACCAGCAAAGGGCAGTAAGTTTTATGTTTCGCTGCTCCCATACAATATTGGTGTGGCGGATCACCTGGCACCCTGACTGGGTGCCTCCGCCAATCGCTGCTTCCTAGGGCTCACCGAGTACTTGCAAGCACTCCACCAGACACCATCAGCACTGTAGACCCTTAATCGCCACAGCTTGGCTGAGGTCTCGCTATCCTCCATCTACCCTGGATCCAAGTCAGGGATCCAGCTTCCAGTGGGTAGACCTCTCCTCCTCCAGAATATATCAGGATAGCTCTTACAAGAGCTAGTGATATAGCTGTTCCCTACAAGCACGAGATGAGGCTCTGGGTTGAGGGTGAAGTAGAACTCATTTAATGGCAGCCACCACTGGCCTTATATACAGGTCCCCATGCAAGGGGTTATCAATGACATACATAGTTACATAGCTGAAAAGAGACTTGCGTCCATCAAGTTCAGCCTTCCTCACATTTGTTTTTTGCTGTTGATCCAAAAGAAGGCAAAAAAAAAAAAAAACTGTTTGAAGCATTTCCAATTTTGCAACAAGCTAGGAAAAAAATCCTTCTTGACCCCAGAATGGCAGTCAGATTTATCCTTGGTTCGAGAAGCTACATTGAAAAATGATATCCTTGAATATTCTGTTTTGCAAGTATGCATCTAGTCGCTGTTTGAACATCTGTATGGACTGATAAAACCACTTCTTCAGGCAGATAATTCCACATCCTTATTGTTCTGGACCACTGGACCAGAGAGTAGACTACAGCAAAAACATATGCATGATTACATTGGCTCTCAGGTCCAGGACACTCCCACACAAAATAAGATAATCCTTCCCCTGTACCTGGGAGAAAATTAAGTCAGGAATTATACTAAACTCAGTTATCTCCAAGCACTGAAACCATCAATTTTACAATACCCCAAAAGTACCCCCCAAAAAGTCACAACCCCTGATAGCCCCGATCTGGGTGACAAACATATCCAAAATCACCCATAATTTTGATCGATTGTGCACATGGTCCTATGCCCAAAACAGTTCCAGGGAATTAGGGCCAACGGTCAGTCTCTCTTTCTGGAGTACCAAAGTATATAAATCACATACATTTTTAAAGGGCCCATAGTCTTTTGGCAGGAGGCTGGCAAAATCCAACTGAGAAAATGGAAACACAGGTTCTAATAATTTCATCCTTTTATAATAAGCATTGGACTAACTTCCCTTACTCGATAAATGATGGTACCACACTGGGTCCCAATATTTACTTCAGCTGTGAAATATTCTCTTTTATCACCCTGAATGCAAATAATTTTTGCTGTAGATCTTCGGTTTCTACATTCGGTATTACAGACATGGCTACTGAGGTGACCATACTACCTGAATCAAGCAGTGCTCTACAACTTTTTCCATTCACATAGCACAAATGAGTGTTCTTACCACTATCAACATTATTAGCAGATCAAACACATTTAAACAAAACCTCACATTACCCAGCTTGCCTGTGTGTGAATGGGGCTGTTCGCAGTCCAGTGTGTAAGAGTGGTGTGGGGCTGTAGTGTATTTGTGGATAAGGATGTAGTGTATGTGTAGAGGGGATAGGAAATGTAGTATGTGTGAGTGTGTTTAGGGACTCTAGTGTATGGGAGGATACAAGCTATACTGGATGTGGGGATGATGGCATCTGCACTGTGTGAGAGGAATAGAAGCTGTAATGTGGGGGATAGGGACTAATGTGGGAGGTACAGGGGCAGAATCTGTGGGGGTTAGGAGTTGTACTGTGTGTGTGGGGGGGGGGGGTTGGGGCTATACTATGTCTGTGGTAAATAGGGGCTACACTGTGGGGGTGTAAGGGACTGAACTGTGGGATGATTAAGGGCTACCGTGAGTGTAAGGGGCTGCACAGTGGGGAGGCTGCACTGTGTGGGCTAAGAGACCTAAAACATATTTTAATGTACTAATGAATAATATTAAATTTAACAATTATCCCTGGTGGTCCACTTGGGTATTAGTGATGCTCGTTCATGCGGGCTGTCAGAAAAGTATAAGATTATTGCCTTGGTAACCTGCGGCAATGCTCTGATCACTTCTGGGAGAAGTTCACTACATGCTCCCTGGGTTCCCAGCAGTACAGAGTGCTGGATGGTAAGAGAGATCCTTGACCTCTCAGCAGTCTGCTGAAACCACTCCTCACACTCAGCATTGGAGGGGCTAGCCTCCATTTCTTTAATCTCCCTAGTCGGCCCCTGCCCATGGCGGCTCACCGGGCACTTGTCCGATTTGGCCAATGGCCAGGGCAGGGCTGCCTTACACTCTGAACAGTCTTACCAAGTTTTCCAGGATCCAGGCCCTTAGAATTGTAGGTTTGTTCAGCTGAGAATGGCTTAGTAGTTCTCATGCAGCTGCTGTATGGAGGTTGCTTTGGTTCCCCACTCAGTCCACATTGTCCACCAGGTGAGTTGTTACACACTCTTTAGCGGGTTCCGACTTCCATGGCCACCGTCCTGCTGTCTATATCAACCAACACCTTTTCTGGGGTCTGATGAGCGTCGGCATCGGGCGCCTTAACCAGGCGTTCGGTTCATCCCGCAGCGCCAGTTCTGCTTAACAAAAGTGTCCCACTAGGCGCTCGCATTCCACGCCCGGCTCCAAGCCAGCGAGCCGGGCCTCTTACCCATTTAAAGTTTGAGAATAGGTTGAGATCGTTTCGGCCCCAAGACCTCTAATCATTCGCTTTACCGGATAAAACTGCGAAGGGTTCACGTCGCGACGAGCGCCAGCTATCCTGAGGGAAACTTCGGAGGGAACCAGCAGGTCGACCCAGTTCCTTTTTAGCCATAAGTGTGTTTGGCTAGGATCTTTAAATAACCACTGTATTTTAGGGTAAGCTGCAACACAGGACACAGGACAAACATATTTTCTTTAACACACCAGAAAGTGTATATAAACAATATAAATCCTAGCTCTTTCTTGAACACTAACTACGCATAGAATTCTCTAGCTTTAATTAGGTTGCTTTCCACTTTCCAAAAAACACAAAAATGCCACTGTTATGTATTGGAGTGTTATGCAGTCCACCTTCCAGTAGATGGCAGCATAGTGAAGTTATGCACTTGTTCTGTTGTGTTAGTCTCTCTTGTGTTTTGTTATTATGTGTGTGCACTGAAGTAAAGAGAAGTTCTATTTTACTACAATGTCTGAGAGCCATTTGTGAATATATAACATGCGAAAACATTAAAACCACCCTCCCTCCACTGTTATACACTGCCCCCTCCACCCAATCAAATTCACTGCCCCCCAATTCAAAGTGACACTGTCATGCCGAACTTACCTTTCTCATATCACTTCCTATTCTCTCCCTCTCTCAGGATCTGTTATTTTCTTTCCATCTAATCTAGTTTTCTTTAAAACATAGGACAAAGTAAGGAATACTTTGTCTTATTTATTTTTTCTACGCTTGCCCATCTCTGACCCTCTTCCTGTGGGTCAAATCAATTTTCCCACAATACTCACCCTTTCCCCCATGATCTTGCCTCATTTCACTATTCCCGAACACCAGCGAAACTACCGAATTTGTCCTAACAGAATGAGAACAATTTATTAATTCATGTTAGGACGATATTAGGTTCTTTTAGGTCGATTCGAAATTTCATTCACATGAATTAAATTCTGATCTTATCTGTGCTGTGGCTGCATCTTGCAGCCACTTAGTAGATAGCTCCCTAATTCCCACGGTATCAGGGAGCTATCTACTGAAAGGCCTGTGGCTGCTCACTGTTGTAAAAATGTTAAAAAGCCCCCGCCCCAATAAATGACCCCATGGTGGGGCATCTATAAACTAGCGGGGGACACATAGTGTTCCCCCAGAGCCCCCACCTGTGCCCCGCAAGTGGGGGATCTATTGTCCTGTCCCTGGCCCCCACCCATGAGGCGGCAGGTTGGGGCTCTAAATGAAAATGGGGGGACCTATAGTCCTCCCCCCGGCCCTCACCCATGAGCGGCGGGTGGGGGCCCTAAAAGACAATAAGGAGGACATATCATCCCCCCAGTCCCCACCCATGGGTGACAGGTGGGGACCGTAAATGACAGTGGGGGGGACCTATTGTCCTCCCCCCAGGCCCCACCCATCTGCTGTCCTCCCATTTTCAGTTATGGGTGTTTAAAAAAAAAAAAAACCTGGATTTGGCCATGACACTGCCACTTTAATACACTGCCCCCTGCCTCCCCCAACTTAACACACTGCCCCCCTCCCACCACTCTAATACACTGCCCCCCATTTCATCACTCTAATGCACTGCCCCCTCCCTCCCCTAAGTTAATACACTACCCTTCACCAATGTAGCACATTGCCCCCCCTTCCACCACTCTAATACACTGCCAATCTCTCCTACAACTCTAATACACTGCCCACTACCGCATCCAAATTAATACACTGCCCCCTCTCCCCAATGTAATACACTGGCCCCCATTGCCACAGAGACGCTAGAAATTGGGATATATTAGATGTGAAAGCTAGTGGGATTAAAAACATGCAAGGGGGGTGACAATTCAAACTACAGTTGCAAGAAAAAGTATGTGAACCCTTTGAATGATATGGATTTCTGCACAAATTGGTCATAAAATGTGATCTGATCATCATCTAAGTCACAACAATAGACAGTCACGGTCTGCTTAAACTAATAACACACAAAGAATGAAATGTTGCCATGTTTTTATTGAACACACCATGTAAACATTCACAGTGCAGGTGGAAAAAGTATGTGAACCCCTAGACTAATGACATCTCCAAGAGCTAATTGGAGTGAGATGTCAGCCAACTGGAGTCCAATCAATGAGATGAGATTGGAGGTGTTGGTCACAGCTGCCCTGCCATATAAAAAACACACACCAGTTCTGGGTTTGCTTTTCACAAGAAGCATTGCCTGATGTGAATGATGCCTTGCACAAAAGAGCTCTCAGAAGACCTACGATTAAGAATTGTTGACTTGCATAAAGCTGGAAAGGGTTATAAAAGTATCTCCAAAAGCCTTGCTATTCATCAGTCCACGGTAAGACAAATTGTCTATAAATGGAGAAAGTTCAGCACTGCTGCTACTCTCCCTAGGAGTGGCCGTCCTGTAAAGATGACTGCAAGAGCACAGCGCAGACTGCTCAATGAGGTGAAGAAGAATCCTAGAGTGTCAGCTAAAGACTTACAAAAGTCACTGGCAAATGCTAACATCCCTGTTAGCGAATCTACAATACGTAAAACACTAAACAAGAATGGATTTCATGGGAGGATACCACAGAGGAAGCCACTGCTGTCCAAACAAAACATTGCTGCACGTTTACAGTTTGCACAAGAGCACCTGGATGTTCCACAGCAGTACTGGCAAAATATTCTGTGGACAGATGAAACCAAAGTTGAGTTGTTTGGAAGAAACACACAACACTATGTGTGGCGAAAAAAAGGCACAGCACACCAACATCAAAACCTCATCCCAACTGTGAAGTATGGTGGTGGGGGCATCATGGTTTGGGGCTGCTTTGCTGCGTCAGGGCCTGGACGGATTGCTATCATCAAAGGAAAAATGAATTCCCAAGTTTATCAAGACATTTTTCAGGAGAACTTAAGGCTCTCTGTCTACCAGCTGAAGCTCAACAGAAGATGGGTGTTGCAACAGGACAATGACCCAAAGCATAGAAGTAAATCAACAACAGAATGGCTTAAACTTAAGAAAATATGCCTTCTGAAGTAGCCCAGTCAGAGTCCTGATCTCAACCCTATTGAGATGCTGTGGCATGACCTCAAGAAAGCGATTCACATCAGACATCCCAAGAATATTGCTGAACTGAAACAGTTCTGTAAAGAGGAATGGTCAAGAATTACTCCTGACAATTGTGCACGTCTGATCTGCAACTACAGGAAACGTTTGGTTGAAGTTATTGCTGCCAAAGTAGATTCAACCAGTTATTAAATCCAAGGGTTCACATACTTGTTTTCCACCTGCACTGTGAATGTTTACCTGGTTTACATGGTGTGTTCAATAAACATTTCATTCTTTGTGTGTTATTAGTTTAAGCAGACTGTGATTGTCTATTGTTGTGACTTAGATGAAGACATACTTTTTCTTGCAACTGTATATTTGACTGTGCTTCAAAGAGAGAAGATTAGAAAATAGGTCAGGCAAAAATAATCGCCACCTGAGTGATCATTAAGCAGGAATATGGATCAATGAGGAATCCTGAGTCCAGTACAGTGTGCTAGTGTAATAGCAAGTGTGTGTGCAAGAAAGTAATGTGAATGTGAAGGTAAAGTGAAACAAAGCAATGTGATAAAAGGAAGAAGGAAAACATATGTAATAAAAAATAGAGAGAACAATGTAACTACCTGTGAAATAAAATAAAAATTAGTGTCAGTGATATCTGTGATGTAAGTAGGTAAAAGTAAAAAAGAAAAAGAGAAATGTGTGACAATATTGCTTAAATCAAACAAATATACCTACATTTGATATTTTCAGAAATCTGGTAGTGAATTGGGTAATTTACTTTCCTGCATAATTAATTGTTCCATTTCCAATCTAACTGAATTAATTTTCATTTCAGAATGCTGTTTTGTCTAGTGTTGATTCTTCTCTGGATCCTGTTTCCGAAAACCATTAATGGAAACCTGTGTCCTGGAAAATGTAAATGTACAAATGTGACTGTGGATACTTTAAGAATGGATTGCAGGCTTCAAAACCTGTCAGAAATCCCAGTTATTCCAATATCTACTGAAGAACTGTACCTGCAACAAAACCAAATCACCACAATACCACCTGGGATATTTGATAAGTTAATGAACCTCAAAAAGTTCAATTTATCCTCTAACCCACTACATTGTGACTGCAAGATTTTGTATTTAAAATTGTGGCTGGATGATCAAAAACTAGATATAGACAATAGTGCTATTTGCTCGACACCGGCTACGTTGCATGGAATGCCAGTATCTCAGCTGGCATCAGCTCAGATTGAACCCTGCTCCAGGCCGCATACATGCTTTGATTTCCTTGCTAAAGACACTTTCCTATATATTTCTTTATTTTTGTTGTTCTCCCTATTGATCGTGTGCCTGAAAATAATCAAACTGATGAAGTTCATACTGAATGTTACAGATAATGACATCACGTTTCCGACGCATCAATCTCTCCGAATTAGTTTGATAAAAAGAAGATTTAATCACAGATCTAAAAATGCATAACCATCTACTTCTTGTGTGTTACTGGGCTAATCATAATAATCAGATGTAAATGTGCATGCAACCTGGTCAGTTCACTTTAGTTAAATATTTTGGTAATAGTTTTCATATTGTCTGTGTTTTAATTGAATTTTCTTAATTTAATTGAATTGAATAGGAGGACTCAACAAAAGAAAATCTACAGTGTAATCTATCCATTGCTGGATACACAATAAGTCCAACAGTGTTATTCAAACTGTGTTCACTCAAAATCTCAAGCCAGTGTAAAATATTCACAAGTTCTAAATGTTATCTGGGTTAACAAAATAAACCAACAAAAGATGATTGTGGACAAATGATAAGTTTGTAATTTACTGGGCATGATAAATACCAATCTGTATTTTCAACTGGCTGACAGCTGCGTGGATAGTGGAGTAGCCAGGGGTGCTGCAGGGTTTGGCTTGTTGGTGTAAAGAAATCAGCTTTAGCTGAGACCCTCAGCCAATGAGTTATTCCTGAACTGTGAAGCTTCTAGCAAGGGTTCTGTCTCTCCTTGGGAAGTAGTGGAGGTGGGGAGCAGCACTCAAAGGACCCCATGATGAAGTCAAACCATACTAAAATAGCTTCAATACTTGCAATGGGGTGCACTTGGTTCCATAACTATGACAAAAAAAGGGAGAATGGGGGCACACCTGGAAAATACATTTCTAAGTAGTGGTGCTGCCATAAAGACCAAAACGTATACAAAATACAGATTAGATAGAGTACACACACAGTTTTAAATTTTACAGGGCTACTCAAATTCATCTATGTTAGCAAACAGATATGGGGATTCAGTTACACCAAGTGGCCATGTTGTGCTAAAGGGACACTCCAGGCAGCTAAACAATTTAGATGGGCTTAAAAGTAGTTGCGGTGGTATAGAATGCCGAAATGGCTTTGAAGCTACCTTGGCAATCCGTATGAAGGGGACTGCCTGACAAGCCATACAGTCCCCTTCGGCAAGTCTGACTCTTCTGCACCATGTGAGTGTGAAACGGTCCCCCGAATGCTGTAAAAAAAAAAAAAAAAAAAAACCACAATTATTATATATGACCAAAATGTTTTACTACAGCAACATGGATGCCAATTAAATTTTTAGTGTATTTTCATATTAATACATATACCAATTTTATGGCAGAAATGCCTATGCCATATGTTCATGGAGGGGCCTGCTTGCCAGCCTCCTGCCAAAAGACTATGTGCCCTTTAAAAACTTATGTAAACAGACAAGGTTCTTGGCATTTTATATTTGGTTCGGGAACCGAACAGGTGCACGAACCAGAGACCAACCCAGGATCTTGTTAAGCCTTATTGACAGTTTGTAACACTTTCCACTGCAGCGTTCTAAGAGTTCATCTGGGTGGCTGCTGTTCACATGAATGACCAAGAGGTGGCAGCCACCTTGTTCCTGCAAACACAGGCAGCCAGGGACGGTGCAAGGATTTCTGCTGCCCTAGGCAAAGATCCATTTTGCTGCCCCCCCCATTTTGCTGCCCCCCCCTCACTGACACACACACACAGAAACACACTGACAGACAGACACTTACTGACAGACACACACACTTACGGACAGGCGCACACACACACACAGACACTCACTGACACACACAGGCAGACACTCACACACACAGGCAGACACTCACTAACACACACACACACACACAGGCAGACACTCACACACACTCACCTGGGGTCCAGTGTGGGGAACCTCCTCGCTCCTCCAGTGTGCTGCTTAGTATGCCGAGGCCGGAATGATGAGAGTAATGGCCGCGAGATTTAGCAGCAATTAAATCATTGGATACTTTGGTCACAGCCGTTTTGACAGAATGACCAGCGCGGAATCCAGAATGAAGGGGGTCAAGCAGAGAGTTGGTTTCCAGAAAGTCAGTCAGTCTGGTGTACACAACTCTCTCGAGGATCTTGGAGGCAAATGGCAGTGGCAAGATAAAGCTGTAGTTGGATGGGGAGTTGGGGTCAAGGCTGGGCTTTTTCAGAATCGCGGTTACAGTTGCATGTTTGAAGGGTGAAAGAAATGTGCCAGAGGAAAGGGAGAGATTGAAAATTTTAGTGAGAGGAAGACATAGTGCGGATGAGATATGAAGTAATAGGATCAAGGGAACAGGTGGTGGGGCGGGAGGACCGGAGCAGAGAAGAAACCTCTTCTGCTGTAGCAGGTGCAAATGAGTGTAGAATGGTAGAGGGAGTAGGGTTGGGTGATGTATTGGTAGGGTAAGGAGAGAATTTAGCGATCTCTTCTCTGACTGTAGAGATCTTCTCAGTGAAGTGAGATGCAAAGTTTGTGGCGGACAAGGTGGTAGAAGGAGGGGAGATTAAAAGGGTGAAGAAGAGCATCAAAAGTGTGAAATAGGTGTTTGGGTTGATGGGACAGTGTACTTATGAGGGTGTTAATTTACTTTTGCAGCAGAAAGAGCCAGGCTGTAGGAGTGCAGCATGCATTTATAGTGGAGGAGGTCAGATGCAAAGTTAGACTTTCTCCAGCAGCTTTCTGCAGTTCTAGAACATTTTTGGAAGTAACAGGTCAGCTTGGTGTGCCAGGGTTGTATTTGGGGGTGCTTGCTGCATTTAATTGTAGGAGGTAGCAGAGTTAGGGCAAGTGATATAGCAATCCCCAGAGTGTATGTAGTTCTCCAATCCCCCAAACATGAGCCAAGACTTCATCAAGGGCTAAAGCATTCTGTTTAATGGAAGCCACAGCTGGCCTTTTATGCAAGTCCCCAAGCAAGGTGTACACCTACATGGACCTTGTTGGGGGCTGGGACACAAACTTACAAACCAATAATGACGCATTTATAATGTAAAGCACACCATCTCTCCCCTCTACTTGGGAGATAATTGGATCAGTTACATCCCCCGATAGCCCTGATCTGGGTGACCAACACATCCAAAAATCACCCAGATCAGTTCAGGGTTTCAGGAATTTTCTGGAAGTCATAATTTTGACTGACTGTGCACATGGTCCTATGTCCAAAACAGTTCCAATAAATCAGTTCTAATGGTCGGTCAAGTTTAGAATTCTTTTACAGGTTTCCCTGCAGGGCCCAAAGTCTGTGGCAGGAGGCTGGAAAACAGGCCCCTCCAAGAGCCAGTGACGAGGCTACTTTCGTTACAACTATGTTCGCTAGTTTGTTTGGTTTTTAAACTACCTAACTAGACTGACCGCAAGCCCTGATTCTCTGGAACTGTTTTGGGCATGAGCCTTGTGTATGGTCAGTCAAATTATGTGGGAAATCCCACACCCTTGAACCGATCTGGGTGATTTTTGGATATGTTGGCCCCCAAATCGGGGCTTCCCATGTGTTTGGGGAGTACTTTTGGGGTGTTGTTAAAAGTATATTTTTCTGTGTTTAGATAATGTCATTTAGATGTGTATTGTGTAGCAGTCTCCTCTCAGGACCAGAGGGGAATGCCCCTGGAATATGTCACGGTAAACCCCTTGCATGGGGATTCACATGAAAGGCCGTGTGTTGCTCACATTAAACCAGTTCTCCTTCACCCTCAACATAGAGTCTCGTCTCATGCATGGAGGGAACAGCTACATTCACTACTCTGGGGATTGCTATAATCACTATACTCACTTGAATTATAATCACTTGCTCTTTTAAGAGCATACTGCTACACTCTCTCTGGAGGAAATGTCTCACTGGAAGCTGGAGTCCAGGGTGGGCAGAGGACAGTAAAAGCCCAGCCAAGCTGTAACGATGGGCACAGGGACTGCAGTGGTTATGGTGTCAGGTGCAGTGCTTGGAAGTACTTGAAGTTACTAGGAAGCAGCGATTGGCGGAGGCACCCAGTTGGCGTGCCAGACGGTCCACCACACCAATATCAAAATACACTTAGAATGAAATTTTATATATATAAAAGTAATGTGGTTGCACTCACGGATTTCCAATAAAAAACAACTTTTATTCCAGTTTCTTTAAAACCGATCAACGTTTCAGTCCATCTTGTGGACTTTCATCAGGATCATAAATATATTAAAAAAACATTTCATATGTATAGGATGCAATAATTGTAAGAATAGTGAGTTAACTTACCCCAGGTGCTGTTCGTGAGGAAACCGGCGTTTTTCCCGATAGTGTGCGCATGTGCGGCATAAACTCCGCCTACTCGTGTGACATCATCACGTGGCACTACCGTCGTTGCCATGGTAGCGCAATAAAACAAAATGGTCACCAAGACAACGTGTAGCGATAAAGACGTCCTCACCATGTGTGTACAGCTACAATGTGTGACAACTTGTGTAGAGAAGAATAACAGTTGTCAAAGTGAATATATTAGGACAAAAAGAATGAAGTGCAACTGCAATACACATCTTGACAGTTATTGTTAAATATCTACACTTATAGTGCCAAGTACAACAGCTAATACAATTCAGCTGTAAATATGGTGCATAATAATATCAATGTTTAAAGCTGCCAGTATAATAAGGTAACTTTCTGAAAGTGCCATATTAAGTGCCATATCTATATAAAGTGCATATAAAATGTGCAAAGTGCTAGTCTGCCTAGTACTAAAGTGGCATATAACTACATATATTAAAGTGCTTGAAGTGCAAAGAAACCATATAAAAATACTAGCATCCAATTATTATAAACACTGAATATATAAGATATTGCTAAAGTGGAAAGCTTAAAGAGATTATATATATATATATATATATATATATATATATACACACACACACACACACACATACATACATACACACACACACACACATACACACACACACACACACACACACACACATATCAATTCCTTATTAAAGCTACCACTTATGCAACATTAAAATAACAATAAACTTAACAACTAATAGTAGTTTGATTACAGTATAAAAATATTTGCAAGCTAGGGCTGAGGGAGATACTATAACATCACAGGAAGGAGTGTAGAAACAGGGATTCATTTAACCCTCTGGGGGAGACTGTGTCCAGTTCATGTATCCAAAACGCTTCCTTGTTTAGGAGAATCTTCCCCCGGTCACCTCCTCTCCTTGATAGCAGGATGTGATCAATCGCCACAAATTTTAATGTGGCCAAAGTGTGTCTCAGTTCCAAGAAGTGTTTTGCCACCGGTTTGTCCGATTGGCCATCCCTATATACCAACCTAATACTGGACCTATGTCCCCTGATGCGTTCACAGATAGCCATTTCTGTCTTCCCTATATAACAGAGACCGCATGGACAACTTAATTTGTAGATTACATGTGTGGTTCTGCACGTAATCATAAATTTAATAGGGTAGATAGGGTAATGAGGATGGTTGAACATCTTCGCTGGAGTCATATGACTACATGTGACGCATCCCAGGCCACTTGTTTGTTCCTTTGATAATCTTCTAATAACTGGCTAAAGGGTCTGTATGGACCAGGAGGTCCTTTAGATTTTTATTTCTTTTAAAGTAAACCAATGGTGCTTCTTTAAACTCCCTTGGAAGTGTCTCATCGCTTGATAGTATCTTCCAATTTTTCTTGACTAAGGCTGCTACTTGAGAGGATGCATGGTGGTAAAACATTGGGAACACCAGTTCTGAGGGCTTTTTCCTATTTTCTTGAAGCGCTTTCTCCAGGGTTTGGCGGTCATAGCCCCTTTGTAGGAATTTAGTCTTCATCTCTGATATCGGAGTTTCCATAGTCTGAACATCTGAATTATTCCTAATGACTCTCAAAAACTGTGCCTTAGGTAATGAGTCTTAGAGCGCCTTAGGATGTGCACTCTGGTAATGGAGTATTGTATTTCTATCTGTAGGCTTAGTGTATAGCAAATACTGAAGCCTTGAGGGTCCCACCATTATCTGAAGATCCAAGTAGTGTACTTTTTCTGCACTTATTTCCGCAGTGAATCTAACCGGTGTTTGCAGTCGGTTAAGTTCTTGTATCATGTCCTGTGCTTCCTCGACCAATTTATTCCATACAATAAACAGGTCATCAATTAATCTGTAGTATGAAGGTATACTATTATTATATTTCTCCAGCACCTGCTTTTCCTCATAGATGAACATTTCTGCATTGGCATACATGGGCGCCATGGCTGCCCCCATGGATGTACCAGCTACCTGAAGGTACCACATGTCCTCAAATCTAAAATACCGTATATACTCGAGTATAAGCCGACCCGAATATAAGCCGAGGCCCCTAATTTTACCCCAAAAAACTGGGAAAACGTATTGACTCGAGTATAAGACTAGGGTGGGAAATGCAGCAGCTACTGGTAAATTTCTAAATAAAATTAGATCCTAAAAAAATTATATTAATTGAATATTTATTTACAGTGTGTGTATATGATGAATGCAGTGTGTGTGTATGAGTGCGCAGTGTGTGTATGAGTGCGCAGTGTGTGTGTATGACTGCAGTGTGTGAGTATGAGTGTGCAGTGTGTGAGTATGAGTGTGCAGTGTGTGTGTATGAATGCAGTGTGTGTATGAATGCAGTGTGTGTGTGAAGGCTGTGTGTGTATATGAGTGCAGTGTGTGTGTGAATGCAGTGTGTGTGTGAATGCAGTGTGTGTGTGAATGCTGTGTGTGTGAATGCAGTGTGTGTGTGTGAATGCAGTGTGTGTGTGAATGCAGTGTGTGTGAATGCTGTGTGTGTATATGAGTGCAGTGTGTGTGTGATGCAGTGTGTGTTTGTGTTGCAGAGCCTTGGTGGGGGGGTGGGCATTTTTATAAAAAAAATTTTTTTATATTATTTTAATTTGTTTTGTTATATTATTATTTTTTTTTAATTATTATTATTTATATTATTTTTTATATTATTTTTATTATTATTTATATATTATTAATTAATTTATTTTGTTGTCCCCCCTCCCTGCTTGATACATGGCAGGGAGGGGGGCTCTCCTTCCCTGGTGGTCCAGTGGCATTGGCAGTTCAGTGGGGGGGAGGAGGGGGGCTGGCAGAGCTGTTACTTATCTCTCCTGCAGCTCCTGTCAGCTCTCTCCTCCTCCGCGCCGGTCCGTGCAGCTCCTCTGTCAGCTCACACTGTAAGTCTCGCGAGAGCCGCACTATGACCCCGCGGCTCTCGCGAGACTTACACTGGGAGCTGACCGAGGTGCTGACCGGACCGGCGCAGAGGAGCAGGGAGCTGACAGGAGCTGCAGGAGAGGTAAGTAACAGCTCTGCCAGCACCCAGTCTGTATTATGGCAATGTAAATTAATGTAAATTGCCATAATACAGACAGTGACTCGAGTATAAGCCGAGTTGGGGTTTTTCAGCACAAAAAATGTGCTGAAAAACTCGGCTTATACTCGAGTATATACGGTAGTTGTTTTGTAAGATTAAAGTGAGGAGTTCTACACAAACTCTATAGAAGGACCTTGATACACTGTAGCTCTTGTCAAGACTTCAACGCCATCTTCATGCGGGATAACAGTGTATAAGCTTTGTACCTCCATGGTTATGAGGATGGGTTTATAGTTGTCATAATGTATTCCATTGATGCTGGTTATGAGTGTTTGGGTGTCCTTGATACAGGTGTGCAGTTGTCTTATGGGATCCTGGAACAGGTGGTCTAACCATTTGGCAATAGGCTCCAATACGCCACCTATCGCCGAGACTATAGGTCATCCCGGTGGTTGTTTAGAATCTTTGTGGATCTTGGGGATTGTATAAATGATCGGTGTGCGTGGATGTTGTTTAATGAGATATTGTCGCAATTTCAGGTCTATGTAGCCTGCTGCTAGGTCCATTGTTAAAATTTCTTCTATTTTATTCTGAGTGCTTCTAGTGGGGTCTCCTTCCAATGGCATATAGGTGTTGCGGTCGGATAATTGTAACTTCAACTCTGTGGCGTAATAGGTGTAGTCCATAATTACAATACCACCCCCTTTGTCAGCTGAACGTATTATAATCGTGGGGTCTTCAGCTAATTCCATAATGATCTTTCTTTGCTGCCTTGAAATATTTTGTTTTATTTTCCTGTCTTGTTGCATATATCTCTGTGCATCTTTATTCATAATAGATAGAAATGTTTTGATAGATGCTTTATTCGATATCGGGTCAAAGGTGGATTTTACCTTAAAAGGTTCTACTGCACTACCAGTATTCCCAATAATAGTGTCACGGGGATTGACGAAATGTTCTCTAAGCCTCATAGTTCTTCCAATGTATATATGTATGTAATTCAATTCTGCATTTAAACTGGTCTGGTCTCGATGTGGGCACAAATGATAGACCTCTACTGAGGAGATCTATTTCTGCTGCTTTAAGAGTTCTGTGAGATAGGTTGAATATGGGGATTATCTCCTGCATGGAGGTTTCCCCTGTGCAAGTTTTCTTCCCTTTATGGTCTCTCTGTGTTCTTGGTCTTCGATTCCTCTGTCTTGGCTCCTGGTCACTGTTCCGACTTCCATAGTTCCTAAAAAAGGTGCTGCTTTCACCTGGGCAGGGTTATTGATATCGGTATCAGAAGCTGATTCGCCCGAAGTTATTTCAACCGTGGGGATTTTAGGTCATTGAATCCTCCTTTGCTGCCTCCTCGGTCTCTGGGTGTTGGCTCTACCAGTTAACCACCCATACACCCTGTGATCCAGGTAGTCTTGAGTCACCTTTTCAAATTTCTGCTTCTTAACATGCATTAAATAAATTAATTCTGTTTTATACTTCAAGGTCTCTTCCTTGAGTTTCTGCACTGCCTTCATACCCTCTGGTGATGCCAACAATATTGCATGTTCTGTTTCCAGTTGTGTGATTTTCTGATTGGTGCCAGTTAGATCCGTTTTGACATCTTTTATAATAATAAGCATCAGCTCTAGCGATGCTTTCTTGAGGACATGTGTCCAATCCTTACAGACCGTTGCCTTCGCCCGTCCGATCGTTGGGATATTGTGAATTCTGAACCCCCTTGGGATTCTCTTAGCTTTATAATAATCTGATAAAAAGATGCCATGCTAATCCAAATCCACTTGTTTTCTGTAAAGGCGTAGTAATTTAAAATATACATCTTTCACTGACAGATTATGTGGGAGGTCAGAGCAGGACTGGTGCCAAAGGATAGCTTCAGCTTCCTCCTGCGAAATATATAGCGTCTCTGCTTGTACAGAGTATGCCCCCGTTTGCATCAAAAATGATGAAAAAATACAAAAATTGCAATAAAGTGCTACTGTGGAGTTTGCAGCAAGATTGCTAGAATAATAGCAAAAATGCCTTACAATTTAAAGTGGCCGGTGCATAGGTTGGAGTGAAAAAAAAAGCCCAAACTCCCAAATACAAAAAAAATAAGGAGAGGAGGTGACCGGGGGAAGATGCTCCTAAACAAGGAAGCGTTTTGGATACATGAACTGGACACAGTCTCACCCAGAGGGTTAAATGAATCCCTGTATCGACACTCCTTCCTGTGATGTTATAGTATCTCCCTCAGCCCTAGCTTGCAAATATTTTTATACTGTAATCAAACTACTATTAGTTGTTAAGTTTATTGTTATTTTAATGTTGCATAAGTGGTAGCTTTGGGGTGCTAACTGAATAAGTATTTAGGTATAGTATACCAAATATTAGCACCTGCAACTAAGGACTTGCAAATAGAGATTGTCGAGAGAGAGAGAGAGAGAGAGAGAGAGAGAGAGAGAGAGAGAGAGAGAGAGAGAGAGAGAGAATATATATATAATCTCTTTAAGCTTTCCACTTTAGCAATATCTTATATATTCAGTGTTTATAATAATTGGATGCTAGTATTTTTATATGGTTTCTTTGCACTTCAAGCACTTTAATATATGTAGTTATATGCCACTTTAGTACTAGGCACACTAGCACTTTGCACATTTTATATGCACTTTATATAGTATATTTTATACTTACTATGGCACTTTCAGAAAGTTACCTTATCATACAGGCAGCTTTAAACATTGATATTATTATGCACCATATTTACAGCTGAATTGTATTAGCTGTTGTACTTGGCACTATATGTGTAGATATTTAACAATAACTGTCAAGATGTGTATTATATGATATGATGAAAATAATGATATATTTAAAAAGACCATTTAATGGTGAGAAAAACACTATATAATGTGTGGGTACAGTAAATGAGTAAGAGGAAAATTGCAGCTAAACACAAACACAGCAGAAATGTAAAAACAGCCCTGGTCCCAAACGGTAAGAAAATTGAAAAGCGGTCTGGTCACTAAGGGGTTCATATTTTTTATAGGAAGATACATAGGAAATGCAGTATTATCCTTTCTTATCATGCCTGTGAATATTATTCCTTTATTGTTTGTTTTTTCTCTATGATTCCCATTACAACACTATTTCCTTTTTCTAAAAATCTATATCTTTTAATTACTGCCTCCCCGTGTAGGTATATGCCCTGCTCCTTTATCTAATGGTAACATTTACCTAATGAGGACCAAAGACTTATCAGGCATGTCATGATCTTAATGGATTTGCCTAACCCCTTGTAGCGGAATAGATATCTGCAAGTGACACTTTGTTTTTTTTATATTGGCTGTCCGTGTCTTTTCCCCTTTTGTTTCGTACATTTTAACTGATTATTTCATCTGGCTTTTCTTTGGCCATTCAGGAGACTTCATACGAACTTAGTCCATTCGTCTCCCGAACAAGGACAACCCCTGTGCCCCATTAGACCGTTAACACCTACCACTTAAGTGCGAAAACCGCAAGAGAAACAATTAATGAGTGGTTGCCCTGGGTGACCACCATTTCGTATAACTGAACACATGGCTGAGAGAATGGCAGCTATCTTGTCTTCCGATCGAGGGCAGCGGTACTTGGTCGTCAAGTATCTGGAACTATTTTCGGCTAGGCACTCGCACGAACATTGGTAAACTGTCAACTGCTGCCTGTTCCCGATCACCTATACGAACGGCGTTCGGGAGATACAAACTACCGAACAGGGTAATCATTTTTATCCTGGAAACAAAAGATTCCCTTGTATGGTTTTTGCACGGGAACTGCATGAACGGAGACCGGCCAAGACACATATTTCTCTGGAACTATTTTCGGCTAGAGTCTCTTGTCTGGCTGGTCAAAACATCCACACAATGCCATTCCCGTTCTACCAAACTGATCTGAGTGATTCTTGGATATGTTGGTCATTCAGATCAGGGCTACCAGGTGATGTGCTTTGTGTGGGGTTCCCCAGGTATAGTTTGGGGATTTTTGGGGTACAGGATATTTTGTGGATTTGTGCCTGGGAAATAATTAAATTAGAGGAGTTTACTCAGGCAATAATTTCTCAGGCAC